TTGAGATACGCATCCCATCAGCAAGCTCTACTGGCGTTGCACAAGTGTTACATCCCCGCTGATGCAACATCAACAGTCGCCGTTGGATCTCCCAACAGTTCTCTGTAATAAGCAATCCAGGGGCAACATCATTATCATAACTAAAGGCGCTGGATAACTATGCAGACACCTGATTTTTCACTTTCTCACAGCAAGAGAAACATGTAGGAGGATGTAGCAGTGCCACTGAAATGCAGTAAATGCAGGAAGCTGTAAATTCCACATGCCAGTTGCAAACACATTCTCTGAGTGTGGGTCCTTCACAGTCAAATGGAACCACCCACACCAGAGGAAGCTAGCAGCAATGTTGGGAAAGTTTGCAGCAGTACTAAATTTTGTTAAGGAACGCCCCCCTGGGGGGGGGGCACTACAGCTGGATGAGGACTGAGGAGGTTCAGTGGTCAAACAACGCTTGCTCAATGTCTTGGGGGGGACAGGTGGAGGAGAAACTGGGATTAGGAGCAATGAATGGAATGGAGTATCTGGAAAAGGGAATGGCTGGCAGCCCTCCTAAGAGGGGCACTGCTCACTACAGTAGGTTGCTGCAGGTCCCCCATGCTGGCTATGCTCTACCCTTGTTTATGGAGCTCTTGCATAGTAACACAATTCCTACTGTTTTGCTAGATTTTGCTTTTAAAAGATTGTCAACTTTTAAAGGGTCTTGTGCCCCCCTTTTTGCAGCCCAAAACGTTATTCCTGAAGCTTTCCAACCATTGCCTAGAATTAATCAAAACACCCTGATAAACAGCAAAGGACAGAAAACGAACTGTCTAGAATGCAACAGCAAACTCCATTCCTTCTGAAATGGGTTTCCCCACAGCTGCCAAGTTACTTACTGCTGCATTCAGGAAGTCATAAGTGGCGCATCGCAGCATAGCAGATCAGCAGCAGCTACCAGGAATTCAACCCCGTTGACACGCAATGTTTCAGTGCAATTTCTCAGCAGTTTCCTGAAGATGGAGTTGGGGGACGTCTCTTTCAAAGAAATTGGCAACCAGCAATCAAAAGTGCTCATCTCTTTAGATGTCAATCGAATGTACCAGCCAAACAGTGGAGAACACTGCATAAACCGGTTAAGGCCTCTAAATGTATAGCAGTCACTAGTTGTACAGGGGCACACAGTCCTGTTCTCACACCACCATTTATGTACTAAAGTTATTTAAACTAGTGATGTTCAAGTTTACTTTGACACAATTAAGTCTGACTGCAAAATCTGGGTCCTTGCAAAATTGGAGATGTTATATCAGATGGCACATCAAATAAATCAGTGAGGACTAGGGTCATGACCACTTCAAATATTAGCAGACACTGGGGTTTTCCCACTAGCCTAATCAGCTGTAGATATCAGATTTGATCTGCTATAGTACATATGCTTTTGCATACTGAATACAAACACAGTGCTTTAATACAGCGCAGGTTTTCCCAACCTGGTTTCCTCTGGGTGGGGATTATAAACCTCTAATTCCCAGCCAAACTGATCAGCATGCTGGCTGGGAATTATGGGGTCATAGTCTATGTCTGATGGGAATTGCACGCCGATATATCTGAAGGGCGCCTGATCGGAGAAGGCTGCTCTAGACCTATTCACAGATTCTGTCCCTCATGCCATTAGAACTGTGCGTGAATGGGAATGCAATGGCTTGTCTCGCCATGGCACCCCCGTCCACCATGTGTCAGGGAAGGAGGTCTGGCCCAGAGGAGCCTTCTGCGTTCCTTTGCACTATTTGGAACCTTGCATGATAGGCCTCCTAAAAGGAGGCACAGAGGAGCCCACCCAGACTCAGCAGCATCCTCACAGCAAATCTTCAGCCTGGCCAAAGTCTCTCTGCTTCCCCCTTGTACAATCTGAATTGTGCGAGGGAGAGAAGCAAGCAGCTCTGAGGAGCACCCCTTTTCCCCAACCACAAAGTGTCTGGAGATTTCCTGGCTTTTGGAGAATTCCCCCCTGCATTCTGAAATGCTGAAAGGCTTTTCATACAGATTTGTTACTGGCAGGGAGAGCTTTCTGCTCAAATGAGCTGGCAGTCTGTTCCTGCCCCTTTGCCATGAACGCCCCTCTACCCCTGAGGACCTCTCCAATACTGAATTTGGTCCCTGGGCTGAGCATCGTTCAACACCCGTTTTAAAGGACCTGAACACAGGATGAAAAACCCTACATGGTAACAAGAGGACACCAGACTTTGTAGCTTACGGCCCTCCCAGAGACAGGTTTACCCAACCTTATAAAGCACCTCTTGCAGTTCGGGTCAGTCTTGCACTGGAATTCCACTGTCTTCCCAAGTGCAGTTATCTGTACATCTCCACCAGTTCATTTGCTGGCCTCGGACCCAGCAACTCCCAGGAAATTAGAAATAAATTCCCTCAGATCAGAATGTGCGATCAGGAATTTCAGAGGAGTAGGTGATGAATGTCACACTTCTGCACCTGGAGTTGTTTCCGCCAAGGGCTCAGTTGTTGCCAACAAGAAGTGTGACATGTGGTCGTTTCAGAGGTTTGCATCACGGGCTTTTCACCTTGAGGTAAAAACCTTTGCTTGCACAAAGAAAGAAATGCTGCCTCCTCTTGAGGAGTTTGGGGTTACTAGAAACGCAAAGTTTCTTTTCAAACTTGGCTATGGGCAAGGCATTGACCAGCTGTGCACCCCACAAGGCAATGCAAGTTAATCAACCCACAGGGTGTGCTATCATGCACCAGCTGCCATTTTAAAATGCAAGCTGAGGCAAGAGCACATGGAGCTTGTCATCTTGTATGAACCTAGCAAAGATGGGTTATTGGCATGGTTAACCCAACAGCCCCCAACAAACCACAGCCAGCATCTGGCTTGTGCGTAGTCAGTTAGCCATAGTCACAGCCTACCCCAGTTGTGTTTGCACAAAGAACCATTTTAATTTTTAAAATGGCAGTTGGTGGACAGCAACAAGCCCCATGGGTAAATAAGCCCATGGCAGCTTGTCATTATGTATAAACTGGCCAATTAAACAACTCTATAGCAGGGCTGGGGGAATCTGGGGCCATCCAAATGTTTTTGGGCTACAGTTTCCTTCATCCTAAACCACAGATCATGTTTGCAGGGACTGATGTGAGCTAGGAGTTCATAAGCCATCTGGAAGGCAAGCTCCTTTCTGCAGAATGGCCAACTGCCCACCAGGGAGAACAGCCGTGGTATTGCTTACATGCTTCTAGAGCAAAGAGCTTGGTTTTGCCAGAACATTTGAATATTGATGTTTAGAGTACTGGTCTTCAGCCCAGGAATCAGGAACCATTATTGCAGGGGAGAGGAATGTGTGGCACTCTAGATGCTGGAACACAACTCCCATCAACCCTATTAGCCAGGTGGACTGGAGCCGGTGAGAGATGGAGTTCAATAAAATCTGGATGGCAGCAGGCCTTCCACTCCTGCGCTTGACCTAAAGAGGGTTGCAATAGCAATGCTACCTCCATGCAAACAAATGGAGGAAAAATGACCGAGCGCAGGGGCGTCCTTGCCCCCCCCCCCCATGCATGTTTGGCTTCATGGGGGTGCTGTGCTGGATCACAGTGAGAGCAGAGGTTTCCTCGTCCCTGATCACTCAAGCAGGACTGCAGGTAGTGATGTATTCGGCACAAGCAAAGGGCCAGTGAAATGGTTCATTGGTGGATCTTCTGTACAACATTAGGCTGAACTTCAAGGAGGTTCCGGAGTACCTAAACTGGGTTTCATGAGTACCAGTGTGGCACAGTGGCCTAAGCAGAACTATTAGTGATGCCAGCTGAGCAGGAAATGCATGCGCCCAACAAGAAGGCTCTTGGCAATGAAGCAGCTTTATGGCCCCACCTCTGTAGTTACACCAAGTTGACAAGAGAAAATGGGATATCAGAGCAAGTGTAAAAATTGACACTTAAAATTGCGCTTGTTAACATCTTCATCAGCGCTAAGAGAAGCCTGTGGCAGATTTCATTCCAGGCTGTGTAAGAAAAACAAGGGCTGGAAAGCCAGCCACTGCAGCTTTCCCCAAGCTCCAATCACGGTAAGAGCAAAGACTCCAAGGCCTCACACACATCTCTGCAGGAGAACAAATTTTATAACCCACTGCTCTTCTCTGTGGGGAAGCCCCCAGTTAGGAACGATGTGCCACTGACAAGATCCCACAATGACTCTGTAAGCATAATTTAGCAGTGGTATTTAACAGCCAATGTGGGGTGTTTTAAGTTCTTTTTTCTGAACAAAACCTAATAACCTTTCTTGCTCCCAAACTTTCAATCCCTCCCC